CATGCTTTTTTGAGACAGGGTCTCCCTGTAGCCCCAGCTGGCCTGAAATTCACTATATAGACCAGGCTGGCCTCCATCTTACAGAGCTCCGCCTGCCTCTGACTCCCAGGTGCTGAAACTAGTCATGCACCACGCAGCCAGCTCCCTGACCTGGTTTTTACTGCCACTTCCTTAGGTTGCTGAAGTCCCTGACAGAAGCAGCAAACAGCAAGTGGGGCCTGCTCCCTGCTGGGCCCCAGGCTGAGGACTCACCTGATGTTCACCCTCAGGGTGGATTTGTTCTTTAGCTGGCCACAATATATGGGGCCAGGGCAGGAAGCTGAATCCTGATGCTGGGATGTTCCTCTGGCTCTCCGAGTTGGGTGTTGCTTCTCTACCCCTATCACGGGCCAAGAGGGTTAGAAGTGCAAAACTCTCTGGCCCCTAAGACTGGGTTTTTTTTTTTTAATTGTAGCACCATTTCACCCTCCCAGGGTCCCCCAGGCCAGCACCCAGGTATGGCAGAACTGTGCCGCACAGACTCCACACTGACAGCCCTGGACGAGGAGATGCTGTGGGACATGCTGGAGAGTCACCGCTGCAAGATCGTGCAGAGCATCTGTCCCAGCCGCCTCACCCCCTACCTGCGACAGGCCAAGGTGCTGGGCCAGCTGGACGAGGAGGAAGTCCTACATAGCCCCCGGTTCACCAACAGTGCCATGAGAGTTGGTGAGCCTGTAGCCCCTAGTCTCTATTCCCAGTCGCCTGATCTCCAGCTGGACTCTTCCTGTCCAGAAACTCAACATGGCTGGTGCTGTAGTAAGGGTGGGGACGGTGGGGTTTTAACACCATGGAGGTGGGGCATGGCGGCTCATGCCTGTCACCCCAACATCCCAAGTAGCTGAGGCAGGAGGATTGCTATAAGTTCCAGGTGTGGTGGCATATACTTTTAATTCCAGCACTCAAGAGGCAGAGGAAGGCAGATCTCTGTGAGATCGAGGCCAGCCTGGTCTTCATAGAAAGTTCCAGACCAGCTGGGGCTACAGGTAGACCCTGTCTCAAAATAAAATACAATGGGCTGAGTGTTGGTAGGCCTCGCCTCGCATGTATAAAGCACTGGGTTGGATTCCCAGTACCACATAAGCCAGGTCTTGTGGTACATGCCTGTAATTCCAGCACTTGGGAGGTGGATCAGAAGTTTAAGATCATCCTCAGCTCTGTATCAGGAAGTTCTAGATCAGCCTGGGCTCCTGAAACCCTGTCTCAAAACAACAGCAGCAAAGCTACCAGGGGGACCAGAGTTCCCAACTTTTTTATTTAATTTAAATTTATTTTATTATATTTATTTTATGTGTACAAGTGTATTGCCTGCATGTATATAAATGCACTCCTGTTACACAATGCCCAAGGAGGTCAGAAGATGGTGCCAGATCCCTTTGAACTGGAGTTACAAACAGTTGTTAGCCACCTTGTGGGGGCTGGGAATCAAACCCGGGTCCTCTGCAAGAGCAATCAGGGCTCTTAACCTCTGAACCATCTCTCCAGCCCATATTTTTATTTTAGGTGTATAAGTGTCTTGCCTGCATCTATATAGGTGCACCATGTGCATGCAGGGCTCACAGAGACCAGAAGAGGGCATAGGACCCCCTGGAACTGGAGTCACAGGTGGTTGTTAACTGCCGTATGGGTGCTATGAACCCCACCTAGATCTTCTACAGGAGCAGCAAGTGCTCTTAACCCCTGAGCCATCTCTCCAGCCCCCAGAGTTCCCTAATACATTTCCTACAAATGGCTATAAACAATGACTATTTAAAACAACAGCTGTGGGACTGGAGTATAGCTCAGAGGTACAGCAAACACTCAGCAGGTACAAGGACCTGGCTTCCACCCCCAGCACCAAGGGACGGAAAACCCCACAGGGGTGCATATCTCTCAGTTCTGCAGGCCAAGGGTCTTGTATCAAGGCGTGGATGGGCCCTGATCCTGCTGCGGGCTCTATGGGGACTCCAGTTCCAAGGGGCTCCAGGCTTGTGACCATATCACCCCAACTCCTCCATCTTCTCAGGCCTCTTTCCTCTGTCTTTTCCTCTTCTGCCTCTTGTAAGCAAATTAGTCATTGGGTTAGGGCCTCCCTTCCCCTGTGTGTAAGCATCCTGTGCTGCCATAATGGCTAGCATTGTGCAGATGGTGGCTCCAAACCACAGGTGCTCCCATGCGCACAGCTCTGGGGGTGTCCGTGGCAGCTCCCGGGGGTCTGTGCTGTGCCTTTCTGTGAGTTCTCATATTGTTGGAAATCCCTCTGCCAACTTGGCTTGGCATCCCCCAGTCTCTGCCTGGTGGTCACTTCACTCTCCCTTGTATATCCCCCCCAACCCATCCCTTTGGAGGGACAGCAGTCATCCAGTGACTTCGCCATGATTCCATCTGTGAAGACCTAGTCCCAATAAAGTCACAGTCCCAGGTCCTTTGGGAATGTGACCTGGAACACCTTGTATCACAATCCTTAATCAGCTGTCCGCAGGAAACCAGGAGGGAGCTGCGGGAAACCAGGAGGGAGCTGCTGAGGCTCGCGGCTGCTCCCTGCTCATCCTCCTCCATCTCCTTCCTCAGGCCCTGGCCCGCTCACCTCCCTCTCCATCCTTATCTCTACATAAGGAGCTCAGGCGAAGGGTGGTCATGGAGCCTGGGCCAGACCGGCCTGTGGACACTGGGTCGCAATGATACTGTTATCTCCCTGGTGTTCTAGACTTCCAAGCTCAGGCTCAGTCTAGAAACCTGCTTCCTCCACCAAAGAATTGAGAAAGCCATGGGGCAGATGTCTGCAGTGATTCCTGGAAGGAAGTTCATATCTCTCTCTCTCTCTCTCTCTCTCCCCTCCCTTGCTTTATAGTCTTCGGAGCTCAGACTTTGAGGTTTAGAGCAGGTCACATGATTTGAAATAGCCGTGAGGCCCTTCCTGCCTGGCCCTGCCCCACTGACAGCCTGCAGAGAAAGTTACCAGCAGCACAGAATCCAGGCTCCCGGATGCCTTGACCATAGAGGGCACACCAGGTCCCATTCAGCTGCCAGGAGGCCTTGCAGACGCAGACGCCACTCTGAGCACCTCTGGTGAGTGCTTGTTGGAGCTGGGGATTCTGCCATAGATATCAGTCGCTTCTTTTGCCA